GCACACTTATGTCCTCCTCCATTCTCTTCTTTTTGGCTTTAACTTCAGATATCTCATCTGTTAGTTCTTTCCTTTTTTGTGCTTTTTGCTCATCCTGCTTCAGGCGTTTTTGGTCATCAAGGTACATGTGATACTTCTGCCTACCAGCAGCTGCAGAAAGGAGTAGCTCCTTTGTGTAGGCTATGTTAAGTAGCCCTCCAATACTTTGCACATGGTCATGTATAACACGCTGTGCAATCAATGAATGTTCTTTGAGATTTTGTACCATTACCTCCTTGTTGATAGAAAAACCTCTCTCAACAGAGGCTTGACCATGTGACAGGATCAGGACAAGATTTACTACTTCCCACAGATTGTGATACTCTACTTTGTTGGATAAACATCCATTGTACAATTCATCCAAACGATCATTTTCTGGGTGGTAACTTCTGAAAGAGTGGGATGCTGACATCAGATTGAAGTCAAAGAAGTTGCCAAACTCTCTTAGAGTTTCATCACAGCATTTCTCTTGAATTCTGCCAGCTTCCACAAGCAGACGCAGAACAGTAATGAGTTTTCGGGTGCTCATCTCTTTGCTTTCAAGAAGCACTCTTGGATCCAGAAAAGACATGCTTCTCAAAAGAGGATATTTGAGATGAGACTTTTCTAAAAGCTTAGCCACCATTTTCAATAAAAACAGCTTGCAGATTTGTCTGAACTCCAACCTCAGTCTGTCAGCATTTGGGTTCTTCTTCATGTGGTCCTCCAGGGCACGCTGAGAGATAAATCCTACTTTGAGTTTGGTGAGATCCATGTGGTTCTCTGTGTCAGCAAAGTCAACTTGCAGAAGCTTTACTGCGGTTGTTGCATCCTTCATGACACCAGGCTTGATAAACTTTTCCATTAGACTTCTGAGCATGTTTGTGAGATCTTTGCTCATAAATGGCAGCATGGGTTTATCAGTCTGGTACAACTTCAGAAACGGGGTAATTTCTCTTGCCACCATTATAAAGAAGTTCAGCTTTGCTGGGATAAGTTCATCTTCAACAATTTTTTGAGCAGCAATGAAAGACTTAGTGCATGGTTCTGTTACAGTTTTTGTTTTTGCAGCATTGATGTACATCTTAAGACAAGGTAAAATTTGTAGAGCGCGCTCAGCAACATCTACATTTTCTAGCCATCGATGACTACAGAAGTCAAGGGGGAAGGATGAAGAACCAGTCACTGCTGTGTAGTCCTCCCTAC